CGGATGGCAGGGCAGCAGACGCCCACGATGACACTCTGGGACGGGTCATCTGGAGGGAAATTCTAACGAGAGGGCGGAACGGAAATGAGGGTCTCGGAGTCTCCGCACAGCTGGGGCACAGGCAACCGTGGGCCGTGGTCGCCGCCCCGACTCCTCCGCAGTGACCGGCCGGCCCGTGACCCAGCTTCTGCGGAGCACGGAGGAACTGGGCTGTGCCAGCGCGTGGCCCAAGCCTTCTGAAAGCCGGTCCCCCCCGGCCACCTGCTGGGTCTGGCGCCAGCTAGGAGGCTGAGGGGCTGTCCTGGGGAGAGGGTGAGCTCCCTGTCCGTCCTGCGACGCGGAGGAGACAGCGTTCCACCAGAGCGAGGGGCTCACAGCAAACCCGCGACGCGTCTCGCCCCAAGGCCCCTGAAAGCAGAGGTTAAGCCGAGTCTAACTGCGGCTGCAACCCGCGTAGGAAGAGATGGCGAGTTTCAACGGAGAACCGGCGTCCATGGAAAATTACCAAATAGAGTGCTAGAACTGAAAAATACCTGGAATTAAAACTTCACTGAAAACGTTTATTTATTTATTTATTTATTTATTTTTTGAGACAGAGTCTCACTGCGTTGCCTGGGCTAGAGTGCCGTGGCGTCAGCCTAGCTCACAGCAACCTCAAACTCCTGGGCTTAAGCGATCCTCCTGCCTCAGCCTCCTGAGTAGCTGGGACTACAGGCATGCGCCACCATGCCCGGCTAATTTTTTCTATATATTTTTGGCTGTCCAAGTAATTTCTTTCTGTTTTTAGTAGAGACGGGGTCTCGCTCTTGCTCAGGCTGGTCTCGAATTCCTGAGCTCAAATGATCCGCCCGCCTCGGCCTCCCAGAGAGCTAGGATCACAGGCGTGAGCCACCGCGCCCAGCCCTGAAAACATTTATTTTAAAAAATCATTACGATTAATACGCTGAAGAAGCTCGTGGAAATGGTGGACAGCACGCATGGACAGACGTGGAATTTCGGCAGAGAGACAGGAGCTAGGAGAGAGTTACAGGGAAATGCCAGAAATGAAAACGTGGTCAGAGGCGAAGGACCCCTAATGGCTCAGTGACCCGCCCCTCTGAGGAGCGTCTGTCTCAGCGCCAGTCACCGGCTTCTGAGCAGCGCCTCCGTCCGCTAAGTCTCATATCTGAGTCACGTTTTTTCCCTATAACAAATCCTGATGTTTTTAATGTTAAAAACCTCACTGGTTCTTTTGTGAGACAAGAGAAGACAAGACTGGGAAGTCCAAAGCCATGTTCTTAGGAAACATCAACCTGAAACACAGACAGACGGAGAAAGGACGAGACACGGATGAGAGACACAGAGGGCGCAGCCAAGCGGTGCCTGTGCGTGTGCGTGTGCGTGTCCGTGTGCGTGTGCAACTGGAGTCCCAGAAAGGGAGGAGAGAGAAGACAGGGGAAAAATGATATTCAAAACATAATGGACAAGAATTTTCCAAAACTGATGAAAGATATTAACTCCCAGACTTGAGAAGTTTTGTATATTCTAAGACAAATAAATAAAATCACATCTAGGTACAGCGCAGACTGATGAAAAGCCAAAATAAATAAAAAATATTTAAGAAAACCAGAGGAAAAAACACGTTTCCTTCAGAGAAGCAGCAATAATGATGAAAGCTGAATTTTTAACACAACTCTCTGGAGCCAGAAGACAGCGGCGTAAGCTCGTTGGAGTGCGGGGGCGGTAAACACGCCAGCCTAGAGCCCCGTCCTCGGCAGAACAAAGGAGAACTAGATTTATGTTCAGACGCATAAAAGCTGCGTCAGCTCCCTGCCTGCCACGCCACAGGCACAGGACAGAGAAACACCAAGAACGAGCTCTTCGGGTAAAGGCGAATCATTCCCAACGGGAGCAGGAACTCAGTGCGGGAATGTGAGAACAACACCGACGCACAACTGTCGCACGTCACGTAACGCGGCACTGACGGCGCCTGCAGCTCGCACACATGCATGTGGAAGGAAACATGTAGCAGCAGCCGCAGAAAGTGCGGCAGGCGGCAGGTGGTTCGCGTTTGCGGGGTTTCTGCGTCGTGGGGTGGGAACGCACTGTCTCCAATCAGGGCGCATACTGTGATCTCTCAGGCAACACCCAAAAGAACAATACAAAAGATATTCCTAAAACTCTAGTAGGAGAGAGAAAACAGAATTAAAAATTTTAAATTTTTAAAATTTAAATTTTAAATTTCCAAAGCAGGGAAAGACGAATAAAGGAATAAAAATGAGATACACAAAACAAATGGCAAGGTGGTGGACTTAGAATCAACCACACGCACAATTACTTTAAATCTAAGTGGACTAAACACTCTAATTAAAAGACAGAGATCAACAGGCTAGATAAAGAAAAGGCTCAACTGTGTGATGTTGACATAAGATGCGCTTTACATACAGTGTAACGACGCAGAAAGGCTGAAAGAGGAGAGAGATACATTAATATCATGTAAATGCGAACCCAGTTAGCCCTCGTACGCCTATATTAACATCAGACAAAACAGAGTTTCAGAAGTAAAAATGAGAGGTAAAGAAAAACATTTCATAATGATGAAAGGGTCAGTAAAGGGTCAGTTCAACAGGGAGATAAAACAACCCTGAATCTGCGTCTGTGGGGGATGGAAGATTACCTGTGGGGAACAAGGTACGCTGCTCGGGTAGTGGGCACATTAAGAGCCCAGATCCTGCCACTGTACAATATTTACATGTAGCGGAATTCAACTTGTTCTCCCTAAATCGATTAAAATTTAAAAAAGAAACTAAAACAAGAAAAGCAAATTTGTAGGCATCTAATAAAATAGCTCCAAAATACATACAGCAAAACTCACACAACCAGAAGGGAAAATACACGAGTTCACAGCCGAAGCTGGGCATGTGAACGTACCTTTCTCGGTAACTGACAGACTGAGCCTCAGCAGGTCAGTAAGGACACGGGAGATCGGAGCCACGTGATGAACCAACGTGACCTCCATACGTGAAATGCTACACCCAACAATTACAAAATACGTTCTTCGTAAGTGCACCCCGAACTTTTACCAAAATACATCGCGTGGTAGCCATAGAGCAAAACCTCACAAACTTCTGAGTGCTAGAGTCAGAGACGTTCCCCGCCAACAAGCGGACAGCGGCGTGGAAGCAGGTCCCAGCCCCGCCGGGCCCTCCCGTGGGTGCAGATCTGGCCAACAGCTGATTTCTGCCTCATGAAACCCCAAAAAAGCCAGAATGGGTTTTTTTGGAAAGATGAATAAAACTGATAAATCCCTAGCAAGACCGATCAAGAACACAAAGCACATATATCAAGAATAAAAAAGGAGACATTATTATAATCTTAAAAACAATGAGAAAATAAGAGGATATTATGAAAAACTTGATGCTAATACGTTTGACAACTTGGATGAAATGGAAAAATTCATTCACTGAAAAACATATTTACCAAAGTGTGAACGGTCTCACACCTGTTAAAGAAATGAAATCAAACATGTTTTCAGGACTGTCGAGCGCAAGAATCACGCAGAACCTGAGCGGCCTGGGCAGCGAACGTTAGAGACGGGCTTTCCTACGGTGGGCCTGCAGAGACTCCACGCGGGGCTGGATGCCACGGTCCTGCATGCAGGCTGCCTTGTCGGCAGCCAGGCGGGGTTGAGGCCGCGGGACAGCACAGTGCCGGGCAGGGAACAGGCTGGCCACACACCGAGCCCACGCGGCTCTCCCCATGTCCACCCGGCCACAGGCGGCCTTGCTGGGACGTCCGGCTTGGCGGGCAGCAGGTGAGCTGCGCTGAAACAGACGCGTGAGTGAAGCTGCGATCACACGCGCAGCCACGCTCCGGGGCGGGGACAGGAGGGCAGGCGCTGGCGCCCAGGCATCGGTCGACAGATCGGTGCGCTGCCAGGCACCAAAGCGAGGTGGCTTGTTTACAGTATTCTCTTTTAATGCAGCTTAAAACCTTCTACGGCCTCAGAAAAGGAACACGATTTGTTTAAAAAACAAAAACCAAACAGGCTGTGAAATAAACTGTAAGAACAACACTGAATCCTCACACGCCCCCGCCGCCAGAGATGATACCTAGGAAGGGAACCACGGCAAGCAGTTTGTCCCGTCTGAAGACGACTCCGTCAGTGCGGTCACTGTTTGTCACTGGTATTCACAAACATTTCCGAGTCTTAATATTTCGTGTTAAAAAACATACTCTGAGGCTGGGGCGCTGGTGGGCGAGGCGGCGGGTTTCCAGGGAGAGCTGCTGGCGGAGGCCCCTTGTTCAGGCTCCATCTCAGTTTCAGCTTCGTGACCTCATCCTGCAGCTTTTTGGCCTTTTGGGAAAAGAAGAGGGCTTAAAGGTTAGAAAGGCTGGCGGGACTTTGGATGTCACCGTCTTTCTGGTCCAGACAGATGGCAGAGCCGGCTCCCTGTCCCCGAGGTGCCTCTGCATGGGGCCTTCCCTCCTCACGGGGACGCCAGCCTCTCCCTGGCGTCCCCGACAGGCCCCCCCACGCGTCCTGTGCAGAAGACTCGGGATCGTCCTGCCGACAGAGTGCTTGTTGGCAAAGGTCACCATAACCGCGACCCCACGTGAGACGCACAGAGGCACGACTGCCACCCTCGCCCCGGGACATGGAAGTGCCGAGCCTGGAGCCGCGCACACTTCCTGTTCCCATCCCACGTTCCCAGCCGGTCTGCTGGCCAGAAGGAGGAGAAGCCCAGGGCAGGTGCGGAGCCCCAACCTCCCACCCCAGGGAGGGGCCCCGGGTCCAGCGCTCTCCTCTCCTCTCCCCGCCCAGGCGCGGCTGGAGACTCCGGCAGCCCCAGGTCGCTGCAGCGTGGGTCAAGGTGCCACCCAGGGCGTCGCTGCGAGAGGGAACGCTAGCTCTGCCAATCCAGCGTTCGCTGGCTGCGCTCTGCTTCCTGTGGCGATCTGTGCTCTCCGTGGCACCAATGGCTGCCTTCTTTCAAAACTGTGCTTTGTTTCCACGTGCCTGCCGTCAAGTCCCCTCACGCGGCCAAACTCCCAACCTCCTGGTCCCACCTCCCGGGAGACCCTGGGGGGCCTGTTGCCCCCTTGCTTTCTGGGGCACTCGCCTTCTGCTCTGCTCCCCTGTCCTGGCGGGAAGAATCCTGCAGTAGCTCCCAGAGAAAGGCCACGTGGAGTCACATTTGAGTCCTTTGCCGTCTGAGGCGGCTTTACTGGCCCCGGCCTTGTGATCTGGGCGCAGGAGCCGGGCACGCGGCAGGAGGCAGCGCGGCCACCAGGACCCGCCAGGCCCTGCTGGCTCCCAGCCCGTGGGGGCCCCTGCTCGGTGCTGAGCCGCGGTGCCGGCACGGGGTGCACTTTCCACCCGGGCAGGGTCGTTTGTGGAGAACCGCGGTTCTTCTGCATCGACCCCTCCCCTCCGCTGGCGCCAGTCCTCGGCCTGGACGCCCTGTTAGACGTCAGACCACGCGGATCGGTCCTCTGACTCATCCTCGTATCTCGCCTCCTCTCGTCTCCTGTCCCTGCTTTTCTTTTTGCTTTATTTCCTGGGGGCTTATTCATTTGTTGATTTTTAAATTTTAAAAAATTTCTGCCGTGTTTCTAACGTGCCTCCAAGAGCTCTTGTTGCCTGAGAGTTCACTTTTTGTCACGACTTGCCGTCTCACAGTGGCAGTTTTTCTGTCACCTTCCGGAGGATCCCAACTCTAGGCTGTAATTTTTTGCTTTGTTTTCATTCACCCCAAGCTCAAGCTGCGGCAGGTCTGTTCGCTCTCCCCTCGTGCCGGGCGCTCCTCACGGTGGATGCTCCGGGCCCTGACATGCCACCGCACGCCGTGGATGTGGGGGGTGGAGGGGCGCCGCCAGCTTCCAGGGAGAAGTCTGAGAAGAGGGGTCAGACTGGGTGGGCTCTGGGAGAGGCAGATGGCAGAGACGGGGGCCTGCGGACGGGCTGTGGGGACAGGAAAGCAGGCACTGCCTCCTCCCCGGTGACGGTGCTACTTACTCTGGGGCAGGCCGACACAGCCCAGCGCCAGCGGGACACAGCCCAGCGCCAGCCCGACCCAGGAGCAGGGGCAGGGCACGCTGACTTGGAGCGTCCAAAGCCAGGGGCCTGGGTGGCCTGGAGAATAGGCCAACGTTCTCATGGCTGTGAGAAGGGAGGGGACACAGGCATCCAGGGAGGGCGACTGTGTCCTCTCACCAGCTGGACGGCAGGCCACGCATTGCTTAGGGCAGGAGAGGGTCTTCCTTCACCACTGCGTTGCTCTCGTAAGCCAGAACGTTCCAGGCACACAGCAAGTGCTCATCAGTAGCTGCCGAGTGGATGAAGGCCATCGGCAACCGGGCGAGAAAGACAGTTAAAACTCACAACATCCCAGAGAGATTTCCATCAGCAGTCCTGTCTGGGAGGCTCCTGGGCTGGGGCATTTGGGTCCCGTACACAGCAGCCTCCCTGGGGTAGACGCTGGGCACGCCGTCCATGGTCCAGGCGGCTGCAGCCAAGCCCCACTCCCCAGAGCGTCCTCGCGGCCTGGCTCCGCTGGACACGAAGTCTCAAGCAAGGACGCACAGGCGCGTGGAGTGGACGGGTCCCAGGCCGCTGCGCCTGCCATCAGAGGCCACGTGTGGCGAGGCTGGGGTCCGTCGGGAGGCCCAGCGCGTTGCAGGGCTCGCTCTCACAGCTGAGACGTTTTCCTGTCTCCTGACCAACCGTAGTTCCGGGAACACTCCACTCACTGAACACACGCCCACAACTTTAGAGAATGTGTGCTCTAAAAAGGCATATAACAATTTTATTTTTTGAGACAGAGTCTCACTCTGTTGCCCGGGCTACACTGCCGTGGCATCAGCCTAGCTCACAGCAACCTCAAACTCCTAGGCTCAAGTGATCCTCTTGCCTCAGCCTCCCGAGTAGCTGGGACTACAGGCATGTGCCACCATGCCCAGCTAATTTTTTCTATATATTTTTAGTTGTCCAGCTAATTTCTTTCTATTTTTTTTTAGTAGAGATGGGGTCTCGCTCTTGCTCAGGCTGGTCTCGAACTCCTGAGCTCAAGCGATCCTCCTGCCTCGGCCTCCCAGAGTGCTAGGATTACAGGCGTGAGCCACCACACCCGGCCAACAAGTTTAATTTTTAATAAAAGAAATTTGTAAGCAGAGCCAAAAGCATACTCACCATCTCCAAATCCTCGGCAGCCTTTCTCATTTGCTCCAGCGGGGCCGTCCCCGGGCACCTTTTCCTCTGTTCGTGCACTTGCCGCATGTGCTGTTTTATCTTCTCTTCCAAATCCCCCGCCCCGAGAGCACTGAGAAAACAGAGGGGGGCGGGGTGGGTTCGACATGGGGTCTGGTCCTGGAAGTTCTACTCTCATCCGAGAGAAAGAATTCTCCTGCCCCAGACCCAGTCTAGGTCCTGAAGCTCCCACATGGCTGTGCCTTGGTTGCCCGGGGCCTCCGCAACGCCCGCTCTCCACAGACACTAACTCACGGGGCCTGGGCTGCCTCTCCCCTCCCTTCTCCAGTAGTTTAGAACCTGCTGGAACACACGCCATACTTCAAAGACTTTGAATTCATGTCAGGTATTACACACTTAGGACACAGCACATTTTACCACATACAGGAGAAGAGCATGTCTTTTTCACATGAAATACACAATTTTACTAAATCCTTAGACAAACAGAGAATTGTATTAATTTAGGGGGGGACAGAGTCTTGCTCTGTCATCGGGGCTACAGTGCCATGGCATCATCGTAGCTCACAGGAGCCTCCAACTCCTGGGCTCACACGATCCTCCTGCCTCAGCCTCCCAAGTAGCTGGGACTATAGGCACACGCCATGACTTTCAGCTGATTTTTTCTATTTGTAGTAGAGACAGGGTCTCAGTCTTGCTCAGGCTGGTCTCAAACTACTGAGCTCAAACGATCCTCCCGCCTTGGCCTCACAGAGTGCTGGATTACAGGCGTGAGCCACTACACCCAGCCTAAATTAGGATTTTAAACATATTTTCTCTGCTGCATTGGTGCTTGGGGCTTTCCAGTTGATTTCCTTTTATTTATTAGTTAATCCATTTTTCAGAGACAGGGTCTCACTCTGTCATCCAGGCTGGAGCACATTGGCAAGATCAGAGCCCAGTGATGTCTCAAATTCCTGGGCTCAAGCAATCCTCCCACCTCAGCCTCCTGAATGGCTGGAACTACAGGTGCCACCACCAGGCCCAGCTAATTTTTTTTCTACTGTTGTAGAGATGGGGTCTTGCTGTATTGCCCAGGCTGCTCTCGAAATCCTGGCCCCAAATGATCCTCCCGGATTTTCCTTGATTTCAAATGCAGTGACTCAGAGTGGTACAATCTGAAAGCGGCGGAGGAGCCGTAGGAGGCATTTACTTCCGTGGAGTGTGAGCACAGAGCTTGGGGTGAGGCCCAAATAGCATGTCCTCCCGTCAGCCTCCCCGAAGACTCCTCACCCCAGCAGCAGGGTTTGTGCCAATTCTGCTTGTTTTCAGAATAACTGTGGAAAGACAGCATAACACCCTCTTTCGTCCCGCAGAGCACAGCCGCAGTCAGCGTGCGCACAGACGCCTGGCTCTTACTGCGCCCGGGTGGTGGGGGGTTAGTGCCACGGGGGGTTGCCGTGGGCTTTGTCGAGGACGATGACGTAACACAGACTCCCTGGAGGACTGAGGACATTCGAGTGCTGTCGGTTTTAGTCTAAAGCACTTCTCGGGGGACAGTCCAACCTATGTGACCTCTGAGATCTCCCACACGTTGGCATCCGCAAGGAGCGACTTCTCCGGGAGCAGAACGTGGCCCTTGGCTGCCCACATCACATTCCGCCTCGACGTTCTCCAGGCCTCTCGAATAGCACACGGGATCCCGGGGACGTCAGACACCGAGCGGTGGGCAGTGGGGAGATGCGTGGGCTGAGCAGTGGAGTGGGGGCCGGGGTCCCTTCCACTCTGGCTCCTCAACACAGGGCTGGGGGCTCCACTGCGGGCCTTGGCCTCAACCCACAGCAGGCCTGGGGGAGGGGGCTGGCGGGGGGCGCGGCTGGGAAAGCAGGAAGGGCCCGGCAGGTGGCGCTGGGGCCTTGGGGCCTTCCCGCATGTCCGGGGGCCACCCTCGGCTTTTCAGCACACCTGGGTGGGGCACGGGAGGTACCCCGGGGAAGAAGGCACGCACACGCCGAGGTTCAGTCTGGGGCTGGTCTTTCTGGTCTACACACGAGCCTCAGAGGAGCTTGGCGCTCACGCCCAGGGAGCAGACACGGAGTCAGCTACAAAAGCTGTGAACACGCGAAACCAAAGAAATGCTTGCCAGTGAGGTGAGAAGGGTTAACAGCCTAGGACCCCGGAGCAGCTGCTGTCCCCCTCACAGTCACCCACCTCCTCTCGAGGCCCCCCAGGGACCTGGCTTTCGTCCTGTGTCCCTGCCTCAGCTCTCTGTGGCAGGCACCACGGAACATGCCCTACTCTGCAGACTCTCACACCCATTGGTCCTCCTCGACCTGCCTACGCCGTCTGTCCCCACTCCCCTGTCCCGAGGGCACGGCTCTGAGTCCTAATCTCTCCACACCTGTCAGTCCTAGGTCGGCACCAGGCCTCCCAAGTACCCCTCCCGCTCTCCCATTCTCCAGGCCCCAGCACAGCCCAGACGATTCCAGATGGGCCAGCCGTCTGCCCCCTACCCAGCAGCCCAGCCCCGACCTGGCCAGAGACTCAAAACACAAAGCTTCTCCGGACGCAGCTCCCCGATGCTGCCTGTCTCCTGCACCCGCGGCCGCCACTCTGGCTGGGCCTCCTTCGCCTGCCGGCACCCCAGCTGGGGAAGGCCTGCACACAGGGCCGAGGATCGGATCTAAGAAAGCCGGGTCTGGAAGGAGTGAGGTTGGAGCTCAGGGCACGAGAAGGCCTGGGGAGCCACGGCAGGGCGGAGATCCAGAGATCTCAGTCTCCTGGACGTCAGGGTGTGCAGTAGCGCCCGTTGCAGAGGGCCCTGGGGGTGCTGTGTCCCGTGCCTACAGGAGCTGACGGCTGACTGAGGAGTTCCCGGAGGGCAGGGACTCAGGCTCGCCCCATCCCTGCAGCCCACGAGCCTGGACATGGCAGGGGTGCTCAGTGCAGCTCCTGGGACAAGCACGGGCCGTGGGTCGGGGACTGTGCCCGGGAAGGATGGAGCCACAGACGGTTACCAACCTCGTTTCTTTACTTGCTTGTGATACTTTCTCTTTGCTCTGTTTCCCTTTTGCAAGTGGAGTCACTGGTGCTTCCCCATCATGTGTCAGATCCGTGACAAAAGGAATCTGTGACGCCACCTAGGAAAACACAAGATGTTTATAGGAATCCCAGAAAATACCCCTTTTATCACAAAGCTAAACCGCCAGGGGTATCAGACTTGTTCTTCACCCACGACGACCCAGCGACGCCACCCAGAGGTGGGCAGTCCTTGCACCTGTGGTCTCCAGCCCTCGGCCTTGCTCAGCTCCTGCCCCCACTCGGAGTGGTGGGTTCGCACGCCAAAGGGGACGGGCCAGCGCTGTGCTGCTGCCTCCAGTGCACGAGCCGGAGAGCCACGTGACCCCTCCCTGACCTCAGGGGCATTTGGCCTACATGTGTGTGCGCGCACGCCTGTGTGCACGTGTGCACAGGTATGTGTGTCTGTGTGTTTCGGGGGACTGTCGGAAATCAAAGGATGGTAAAACAGCACACGACAGGCGTGAGGGCTGGGGGCGGGTGGAGACGAACCTCTTACAGGGCTGCTGCAGCACAGAGTCTGGCAGGACCGACTTGGCGCTTACCCAGACGCCGTCTGCCACTGTTTTCTCTGCCATTCTCTCCTCTAAATGGATTTCCAGGGCTGGACCTTCTCTGGCTGCACTACCAGGTCAACCCCAGATGTGCCCGGCACCGAGAAGGCAGCAGGGGAGCAGGAACCGCCCTCGCCTCCGCCACGAGGCGCGTGCTCAGGCTGCAGATGCGGCAGAGTTGCGACGCCCTGCTGACTGCGCGCTGGCACGCTTTTACTGAACCAGGATTCTCCCAAAGATTATTCCAGCAGAAAGAAAAGAACAAATGCTAAATCCAGTAGGTATTTTTCCTCTGAAAGTCCTGCATTTCATTTTATTTTTAAAAATATTAAAAGCGCGTATTTGGAGAGAAGCCCACTAGCTGTATTTTACTGCTACTACTATACACACAGGACTTGCGCAAACACGCAGCCATGATGCACGGGAGGGGCAAGGGGCGGGTGCCAGCGAGTGGCTCCGAACAGGCTCTGTGCCAAGTTTTACGTGCTGGGTGTGAAACATGCCACTAATTGATCTTAAGGCCCAGAACATGGATTCAAAAGTCACCGGCAAAGGTGCTGGTTTTGGAGCAACATGAAAAACAAAGATGCGATGCTTTATAAAAAGGAGGTGATGAATGCACAGGCCCCGCCTGGCCGCCCGGGAGTCTCTGTGGGCAGCAGTCTCAGCAGCCAGAGCCTCGCTGGCCCCACCGTGAACGTACTAGGGTGTGACCTGTGCGGCACGGCCCAGCCGAGGCATAGGCAGGCAGGTGGGTGCACCTCGGGGCCCGGCGGCAGCGCTGTAACTCCCCAGCCCGCCAGGCCCCACGGTCCTGCTGCACACTGGGCTCCACCTGAGCAGCCGCGGGGCCACATGGGGCCGTGGTGCCCTCTCGTGTCCTGTCCAGCTGCTGCCCCTCAGCCCGCAGCCAGACACGTCCTTGCCATTTCCCCTCTGCGGACGCGTGAATTCTGAGCTTCATTTGTCGACGTGACCTCCACCACCAATACTGAAACACACACGACTTTGCGCATAAATGCTGCGAGCGGATCGCTTTTACGTAAGATGGACCCCTCGGTGTTCACAGAAGCGCGCGTTCTCAGCATGGACAGAACCTCCCGGCAGCCACGGCAGCGACCAGGCACAGCCACCACAGCCCCTGCGCTGGTGCCTGACGCCCACCTCAACCTCCGGCAGGCGGAGCACCTTTCCACGTGTTTACGGCCACTTGAATCTTCTCGTCTATGAACTGCCTGCCACATCTTTCGCCCATTTTTTCCTACTGGATTCTTTCAAAAGCATTCTTAATGTTGTCTAATTGTGCAAGTATTTTTATTTTTGGAAGTGGTAAACTATATATTTTTAAGTTTTCTATGTATAAGGCAATGGAAAATTAGAAAAAAGATGACAGAAAAAATGAAGACTTAGCATGGTCTGACGAGCAATGTCAAGTAAATAAAGAAAATAAACTTCACCTATGACATCAAGTGACCCATGGCCAACGCCACGCGCGCTGGCAGGATCAGACAGCAGCCTGCACAAGGCACGGAGCCGACGGGGTAGATTTTAAGCATGTTTTCCTTGAAAGCTGCTGTGGTTAGATGTCATTTTAACACCACGGGAACAAGAAAAGCTCACAGAGGTGGCGCGGTGTTCCAGGGTCTAGAATGCCTTTACGAGAACAGACTGTTCTGTTTCCTGAGAAAGGTTCCTTCGGTCAGAAGTGCATATGACGTGGATGAACAGATCCTATTTGAGAGGGAGGGGCTAAGGCCACCCTCGAACGACATCCCCAGAGAGCAGGTGCAGGCCGGGCCGGGGGCGGCAGAGCCACCATGGTGGCTGTGGGCCAGGGCGGGGACCCGCACTGCAGGCCTGGCTGCTCACAGTGCAGACGTCAGCCTGCCGCACTCTGGGGGGAGGAGCAGCCGACCAAGGCACCTGCCGGCCACCTGCACCCCTACCCTGTGGCCAGCTGGACTAAGACCCCCAGATAGTTTGGGGGGATGGGAAGAGGGTGCTGCACCCTGTGCCCACTTGAGAGCCGGCTGCCTGGTGTCAGGGACAAAGCCACCAAGGCCGCCCCTCTTGCCCCCCAGGGGCTGACCTCCCATCACAACCTCAGCTGCTTGCCTCCTCGCTTTTAATCTTTTCCCCTCTACCCCGCCTCCTCCCCTCTTTGAGAACCTAATTCCTCAGACAGAAACATAGAAACCACGGTCAGCGAGCCCGTAGGCGAGCACTCACATGCCAGACCAAGGTGCCACCCCCACCAGCCGGGGCCCCGGCGTAGCTGACTCCCTCCCCGGACCGGCTGTTCTGCTGACAGGGCCGCACAGCGCCCGCCTGTCCCACAGGATGGAGCAGACACCGTGGCAGGCACAGCCCCCAGCAGGCGAGAGGGCCAGTGCCAGGTCCCCACCCGCAGCCGCGGCCCCGCCAGGCACCCTACCATACTCCGTCGCCGGGGCAGGCGTCTGCTGAGCCCTTCCGCCTGCTTCCTCATCACCTGGGCCTGCTGGCGCCAGTCCCGCAGCACTCTCGCGTCCCTGCGGAACAAGTCAGAGCGGCACCGTCAGCAGCTCACGCAGCCGAGCGAGGTGCATGAGCATCTCCACCGTCACTGCCAAAGCTGCCTGCAAACGGCCTGCATGCGGCCCAGGGTCTCCCAGGGCAAACGCAGGCAGGGCGCAGGCTCCGCGTGGGATCTGAAATGCAGTGTCTTCCCTCCCCACACATTGGGCAGAGCTAGGAGCGTGGGCATCTGTGGAGCCTCTCCATGCAGGTGCTGCCCGCCACGGTGCCCGAGGGAAAGGTGCCGGCTGGGGCTGCGCTGCCAGTGCCGGCATCCGGGTCCGGGGAAGGGTCCGAAAGACTGTCCCCAACGGTGGCCTCTCTCCAGACGCTAGAGTTTCACTTTGAAAGCACCCTGGGTCTCTCCCCAGTCCCTGGGCAGAGTCGCGAACCCTCCCCGCAGGACAGCGTGAGAACGTCCTGCAGCAGCACCAGGGCTGAGCTGTGGCGGGACGGGAGGAGGACCCCCCTCCCCAGAGCACAGCCCAGACCAGCAGGGGCCCTCCGCCCACCAACCCGGGCCCCCCCCATCTTCCCCACACGCCTGCGGTGCGACCCCCTCTCCTGCCCCAACCTCTTGTCCCTTCCTCCCAGCAGACGGCTCCACCAGCGTCCGGACCCCTGGCAGCCCAGACCTCACCCCCCACCGAGCTCTGCTCTTCTCATCACAGCCGCTGGGCCCTCCCCAGCTGCGCCTGCTGCTCCCGCCTGCGGACGCTTCTGGGCTGAGGGCTTCCACCCCGAGTCAGCCTGCGCGGATCGGCTGCTGTCAGAATCTGCCTACGTCCTCCCTTGGCGCCACCCTGGAAGCACAGGTGGTCTTGGCAGCCTCCTCCCTCGAGGCCACACCCTGTCACCCACCTGGATGGGTCTCGGGACCCCCAGCCCCAGCTGAGCTGGCACCCTGTGTGCCCCGCGTGGCACTGGCTGTGTGTCAGCCCCGCCACGCTCTTGGACACGGCTCCCCTTAGCGTCTGCCACCTCCTGGCACGCCTCAGGAAGCACAGGGGTGACACTGCTACCTGGGGACGCGAAGGGGCCCGGGGTCTAGACCTTCACAACGGGCCCAAGCTGCTGACTGACGAGGCCTCCCGACATCTCAAGACTCAGGAGGAAAGTAAAGAAAAGAGGTTCTACTCGCTCTTTGTATTCAAGACTCATCCGCAAAGATGAGTCTGATGTGCTCAGGTGAGAGCGGACTGTCTGCCTGGAGCGCCACAGGGTGGGGGCCCCACGGAGAGCCTCGCGGGGACAGGCGGACGGGACTCACACACGGGGACGAGGGCAGAGCGGGGACAGGGGCAAAGTGCTCAGCTAGAGCGCAGAGGGGCAGGAGCCTGGCAGGCGGTTTTGGAAAACAGCACCTTGAAGTGGGCAGAGCCGAGCAGGAGTGGACCCGCCTGCGGAGGGAGGCGGTGCTGGCTGGGGCAGAGCAGGGAGCGGCAGGTCACTCTCTAAGGGCCCAGGACGGTAGAGCCACCCTGAGGGACACCGGTGTGTAGACTGTGGGCAGCAAGGAGAGCCGTGCAGGGGCTCCCTGGGCCTGGCAGCTGTGGCCAGTGACTGGCGTGACCGTCCTAAGGGCTGCCCTCCTGGTGCAGCGTACGAGCAGTCAGCGGGAGCATCCCTGCCCACCAAGATGACAGCCCAGGAGCCCAGGACCAGCTCTGAGGGCTTAGCATCGCCCACCCCTCTACTGAAGGAGAAGACAGCCAGCTACACGGTCAGTGTGGACGTGGGTGACAGCCAGGGTGCGTCACGGAATCTGCACGGGGAACACAGTCTGCCACCAGCGTCCAGAGAGAAAACAGACGCACGCTCACAGCGGGGTGGCTGCAGGAGGTTTATTCACATGAAGAGGGAGGAGGTGAACCACAGGGAGAGCGCTGGAGCCCTGGGCTGCTCACGGCTGGGCTGCAGCCATGCCCAGGACCTTGGGACAGCCCCGGGAAGGAGAGATTGCCAGAACCCAGAAGGAGAGAGAGGCTGGACGCGGCCAGCTCCAGGCAGCTCATGGAGAGGTCGGGGGAATACAGACTCTGCTCTCGCGCTTCCCCTGCTCCTGGGCCTGCCGCTGGGGCCCCCCACTGGCCGAACCCAACCGCGAGGTGAGGGGCGCAGGGGTGCTGTGGACGTGGTCCGTGCTGGCCAGCCTCTTGCGGCCCAGAGCGAGGTGGAGCCGGGTGGTCAGCAGAGCTGGAGGACAGAGAAGAAGCTGAGGACAGGCCTGGAGACACTCCGGCCAGCGAGCCAACCAGCACAGCCCAAGAGGTGGGGATGCGAGCGGTAGGACGCTGATGACCATATTATTTCCAGATAGCAGTGCTTAGGGCAGACCTGCAGGCCAAGCGAGCGAAGGCCAGGAAGGAAGGATTGAGGAAGAATGAGAAATTGGAGAGAAGCTCAAGAAGACAAGCGTCGTGAGGAGGCGAGGCAGGGCTGGCACGAAGGAACAACTAACTACCTGTGGCTGCGCCCGCGCCCACCCCGTGAGGTGGCCTCAGCGGCTGCGGACAAGAACAAGGGAGCCCCTCGTCCGACAGCCACAGACCAGACCAAGGCGGCACCGACCCCGAACCAGGACCGTGAGAAGGAAGCCTGGTGACGAAGTGCGGCTGCGGCCCTGCAGCCAGTGACACGGTGGCCCTCGCCCCGCCCCGCGGAGACTCACCGCCTCCGCTGCTCCATCAGAGCCTGCTTCTCCCGGAGCTCCCTGAGCGCCGCCGCTCGACTCTCTTCCAGGGCTTTTGCTCGAATCACTGTCTGGTACGAGGACGGCAGATCAGGCAGGACGTTCCTGAAGGAGGGCATCTTCCTTCTAGAATTACACCGTGTCCTTAGCTGAGCAATGAACAAAACCCCGTGACGGTAACTGATCTGTATCAGATGCAACGTTACCAAACACACGCTTAGATGTAGAAGCTGGGCCTGTGGATCAACTGCACATCAGAACCAGAATCTTCACACAGTATCAGTCAATGGACCTGAGGCCTGCGCAGCCTCGGGTGGCTGGTCTCACGCGGTGCCCTCGTCTGACCTGGACAAAGGGGCAACCCGGGGCCCAGCCAGCAGCTGGAGCTCAGAGATGCTGGGTCGGAATTCTCACTTCCAGGGGACAGAGGAGTCACAAGGAAGGCACAGAAAGGACCACTGAGATGTGCCTGGCTTCTGTAAGCATGTTCAGGTGGGGACAGCTGTTACGTCCCCCTCAGGGAAGCCAGCAGGACAGCAGAGGGGGACAGCCAGTGACACGGGGACACCCTCTCCTCACCCATGCAAAGAGAACTGACAGGCAGGCTCTGGTGTTTCCTCTCAACGAAACACCTGTCTGTTAAAACATGAAGGTGGAAACGGCTCTGAGGCCAGGGCTGAGAGCACTGGGCCTTCACACCCAGCTTAAGAAACACAACGAAAAGCTCTGCCCCTGCCAGGGCAGAGAGGCCCAGCCCATCCCACCGCCTGCCCCGGCTCAGAGCTCATGCCAACAGCATGTCCAGGAGGCCACGTGCAAGCACTCACACCCAGGTGGGCGCATCCCGGGAGGCCAGCCAGGCCACGCATCTTCCATGCCCCGGCTGAGCGTGGAGGACAGGCACAGCCTGTATCCTGGCTGGGGTCGCCTGGGGCCTCACTGAGCCCAAGCAACACCTGAGGGGACAGAGTCCCACCCACGGACACGGATGTGGGGCTCAGACCTGCTGCTCCCACCACACCCACTGCCCCTCAGCCAGGCCAGCGAGCAAGGCCACCCCCCAAGTCACAGACCAGGAAGGGCCCATTATGCTGAGTGCAGACCAGGGCTACAACCTCAGAGCTTCTCCTGATACCTGGGACCCAACAATAACCTGACCAAGAGGAAACTGAGCACAGATAATACATGTGACTCCAATACAACCCTACCCAGTGGGGAAACTGAGGCACAGATAGTACATGTGATCCCACTACAACCCAACCTGGTGGGGAAACTGAGGCACAGACAATACACCACGTTGTTGTGGGGTCACCCCCACAACAACCAAATGGGGAAACCAAGGCACCAAGTGGCTTCGCAAAGCTCGCCCTGGTGCAGCAAGGGGAGGAGCCGACTTCCAGGCCCACCAGCTGTGGGGCAGGGGCTGCCGTCTGAGCTTCCTGTCTGGGGCCTAGGGGTCCAGTTCTCCACCGCAACACCCCAAGCCCCACGAATGAATCTCCCAAGGCTAGGAACTAGTATCTAAACCTCACATGTTGACAAAACTATAAACTCTACTAACAGGCTTACAACGCGATTTGCTTGAATAAATTATTACTGTTATTTATAATAACAAATAAATAAACGGAGGGAGTGAGGGACAGAAGAGTTTCCGAGCAGCAGGCTCAGCGCATTCCGCTCTTCCAACGTGCTCCGAGAGTCACGACAGCGCCGCAGCCTCCAAGGCCAGGCGGTAGCTGGACGCCTGCACCGTGTCACACCGCCCAGGGTTAACCTACCAGTCACACTGCAAGTTTTTTATTTCTAAAACATGCAACTTACAGAAGAGCTGGAGACAGCATGACGAACACCCAACCCTTCCTACAGACGTTTCCCTCCTCCTTTACTAGGCCCCAGCCAGCTTTCCCAGACGTATTCTGAAACACACCCGTCTGCTGGGTGGCGCTCTGGAGGGCCTCAAACCACATGGCCTCCAGGACTTCCTCACCCCAAGAACCGGGTTTTGTCCCCTTGGATATGGTAACATCTCCCACAGAAGGCATGCTCTGTGACAGATGCACCAACTATTACTTGCCACACTCTCTATATTTATTGTTTAATACATACACCCACTCACACACACACCACACACACGCACACATATGTGTGACACACACCACACACAACCACCCGTGATTCGAATTTTTCTCTCTCGTAACGTCCTCTGCGGAGCCTGTTTTCCCGGGGAGCCAGGTAACTTTAACCCTAAACCCAGGGCCAGCACTCACTGCACAGTAAGTGACCCAATGTGGAGGAACGTTTTAAAATGTAGACCTGATGTTTTGAAAGGTAATCAAAATATCATAAATTCGAGAAGACCAAGAAAACACACCTTTGCTTTAAGGGTTACCTGAAAACGTGTCTTGGCTTTGGACGCCCTTTCTCACTGCTTAATGTTGCCTTGAGATTTGGAGGTAATTCCATGGGTAGGAGCTGATTTGCAAGAACTTCTGCTTTTTCGTTCTCAACAATCTCCTGCCTCAGCTTCCAAAAGCGCCTGATCTCCTCCTCGCTGGGCCAGTGCTCGGGGGAGTCGCAGGACTTTCTGAGTTCACTCAGGTCTAGCCTTTCGACAGGTGGGAGAAAGTCTGCCTTTTCTTTCAACACAGTCCCCTGTGGATCCTGAGGGTTAATGGTTTCTTCCTTAGACACACACTCTCCGGGGAGTTCCAACACAGGATTCGGAAGGCCACTTAGGTGCATCTTTTTAATTGGTGAAATCTCTAGTAGAACAAAACGCCGTTTCAGTAGCCTATACGTCAGCACGGTCCCTTGGAGACAAACTGCGAAGTCCACGCGCAGCGGCCCCTCTGTGGAGAAGGCCTGAGCGGTGGAGGTGTCCCCGCCCCTGCCCAGAGACTCCCTGCTCCACGCCAACCCTCACACAAACAGCCTGTTTATCACACATCCCCCGCCCCCCGGGCTGCTACAGGACATGCCAACACTCGGATGTGGAACAGACGAGAACACGCTGCGTGAAGAGCACCTGACCTTTTCACACAGCCCCACGACCCGGAGTCAGGTGTACGCGCGGCAATCGTCCAACATTTACCCACGTGTCTGCCTCCCCCCGATCTCTTAGAATCTTCATTTCTCACTAATTTTTAGCCCACTGTGCCTGCTTTTCTTGTTTGGCGATGCTTTTGCTGACTTTTCAACATCGAATCTCCAGCTCCAGGTCAGCTATTTGAGAGGAAATTGCCCAGAGCACATTTGTCCGCCACATTCAGGGTCAGGGGACACAGACGCACACGCAGACAGGCACCAGCGTGTACAGTGAGTCCCCGGGACCTTGGGACACTGCGGATGAATCGGCAGGGCCTCAGGGCTGAATGCGACGCGTGAAGTGCTAGCTCCCGCCAGGGCACGGGGCAGCCCCCTCCGTCTCGCTCCCCAAGGCCTCCACTGGTGCCTCATGGGCCGCGGCCCAAACGCGCACCTGGCCCTGGAATCCTTACATCAGGAGCTGCTTCTGAGGCTGCAAGGACACTTGAGCAGCACGACCAACACGGCACCTGCATCCTGGAGCCAGATGGCGGGTCAGGGCGCAGACCAAGCACAGCGCTCACTGGGACGTCGCCTACTGTCAAGGGGATGCGATGCTCCTTGTCCCTCCCCCCCCATTCTCTCTCCTTCTCGGCCACTTCAGTGCTCTGGGCTCCCTGGAGCCTAAACCACCTCCCGCGGGGTGCCCAATGCCCATGCCCAAGGTCAGTCACTGGAGAATCTTCTTAAAGGCATTCATGGAAAGCTTATCTCTGTGATTTAAAAAACCAAACCACACCAAAATAACAGAAAAGCAGGAAAACCAAAGCAGTACTTTCGATTTACGAAAGGTGAGCAGCAGAGGAAGAAAAGACCACTTCCCTCTGTTCCTCTTAGGCCAAAAATAATAAACGTTCTCTCCCTGGACAGCTTCCCCCGATTAAAGGCGAGGAGACGCCACAGCAGCCACTGTCTGGGGCTAACTCCTAATGGACCTCAGCACTGTCTGTGGACGTGCTCTCCACAAACGAGCCTCCACCAGACAACCCGAACCTCTGCGCTTCAATGCGCAGATGAAGGCCTGTTACAGACCTGCTAAAATTGCTCCCACAAAGAAACTAAGGGGGTCAACTACAGGGGTCAACTGCTGATCCTCGATCACTGAAAACTATTCCTAAATACAGGCCCACCCAGGCGGAAAGTACGGGGTCACACACTACTGGCAAAGACCTCGTTGTTTACACATTTTAATTACATCACATATGAAACTATCTTTGCTAATAGCTCCAAATGCATGTATTTTTCTTAAGAATAGAAAGTATGTCTTTAGTAAAATTTTAGATATTCTGTAGTTAACATTTCAGAATATTTGCTTTTTTGGTGAGCATTTATCATGATTTTCCTTTATCTCAATTTTATTTTTGTTTTTCCTGAGCGTAGCTACAACGTCTCCTCAGGACAGAATACACGTGAGCATCGGAAAAATCTCGATCAATATGCTGAAAAAATGGAATCATTTCGTGAATACCCACCATGTTGATAAAGCAATTTTTATGCTAATTTCCTGTACTCAGCTAAGAATCAGGGACATTTCATTGCACTTATCTTCAAGCCGTTGTCTAGCAGAACCCTAAAAGATGCCTGAAGCAGTTGCCTGTCGGTGGGTTGGAGGTGATGACCGTTTCACGTGACTTATCCCAGCGAGCGTCATCACAGTCCACACCGGGAAGGCCGTCTGACGGGCACTGAGATGTCCATCCCCGAGCACAGAACCAAGGAAAGATACAGACACGGCCGGGTTGGCTGGAGACTCGTGTCTGCTACGTAAGCTCAGCAGAGGACGCCCGAGGCCCCAGCACTTCTCAAAACATCAGTAACGCGAAGGCAGGCTCCGCCCTGATTTTCAAAAGCTCTAATATCAGTTTTGACGAAGCCCGTCATAAATAATTGTTCTACGAACCTTGAGAGGCTGAGTCTCTGGGGAGGGAATGTTCCGCCGCACAGATCCGCAGGAAGGTTTGGATGGCGACCAGGCCCTTCTGCAAGATAACCTGGGGGGGGAACTCCAGAGGACAGTGTCTCAAGTTCAGTGCTTTTAGGGTGGTGACGTTCCCTGCAACGGAAAAGAAAAACTGTCGGCATTTGACGCACCGTTCCGTGGAGTGAAAGCAAGGAAAGATGATAACTTTTCACATTTTAAACAAACGATTCCAATCGGTACTTGGGATAAAAGGTTATGATGGATGCCTGAGATTTGCTCTAAAAAAACTGCAGGGAGACATTCTGCAAACGAATTTATATTAACAAGTAACTAAAACAAACAGCAACACAAACCTTCGCTTAAAATTTGAAATATAAAGTTGCTATATTATCAAAAATGTCCACTTTCGACATAAAAACTATAAGACGTGAAAAGAAAAGGAAAATGTGACCCGCATTCAGGAAACAAGCTGCCACTAGAAACCGTCACCGAGCAGCTCAGACGTCAGGTTCCCCGAAGACTTCAAAGCAGCTATTTAAATATGTTCAAAGAAATGATAAAATTGTGTTTAAATAATTAGAGGAAAATATAATAAAATGGTTCAACAAATTTGAAAGGTCTATAAAAATAGACATTGTATAAAAGTACCAAATAGCACTTCTAAAGTTGAAAATTATAATAACTGAAATGAAAAGTTCACTCAACGGCAGATATGAGATGGGAGAAAAAACAAGTCATGACCTTGAAGACGGAGTAATTAAAATTATTCAATCTGAAGATGAGAAAGGAAAACACATTAAACAAACGGCCAAGGCAGGACTCTAATCTGATTTCGGGTCACAAGACCCTCACTCCAGAGAGGTCCTGCCCTATACCCTGGAGGGAGGATGCTGCTCACAGAGGCCAGGAAGAATCTGAGCAGAAAGGCCTCACTGGGCTTAGATCGTGTGCTTTTTGTCTGATCACATTTCTACATGGTTGTTCATGCTTCAATCAGGCCTATTCACTGAAGTCTCCACAGAAAGTCCAAAAGGACAGAGTTCTGAGGCTTCCAGAGAGCTGCACACACGCAGGCTTGCAGGCAGGCGACCAAGAACTCACTCAGGTGCTGGCAGGGTGGCGTACCCCCACTGCACAGGAACGGAAGCTCCTGTGCTAGGGACCCTTCCAGATCTCGCCTTGTGTATCTCTTCATCTTTGTAATATCCTTGTAATAAACCAGTAAACGTGTTTCCCCAAGTTCTGTGAGTCGCTCTAGAAAATCAACCCAACACAAAGAGGGGCCACGGGAAACCCAACTTGAAGCCAGTCAGAAGTTCCGGAGGCCCAGACTTCTGACTGCCAGGAAGGAGGAGGCGGCCTTGTGGGACTGAGCCCTTGACCTGGGGCATCTGACCCGATCTCTAGGCAGACGGTGTCGGAACTGACTTGGAGGACACCCGGCCGGTGTCTGCTGCAGAGCTGATTGCTTGCCTGGTGCGTGTGGGAAAATCCCCCCACGGTCGGTCACAGAAGTGTTCTGTGTGGACTGTTGTATAGCATGAGAGCAGAGGACAAACAGTTCTGGTTTTTCCACTCACAGAAATCCTAAGGGAAATTCTTCAGTCTGAAGTTCAATGATACCAGTAGAAGTCTGCATCTTCAGGAAAGAATTAGGATACCAGGAATGCTAAATATCAAATAAATATAAAAGACTTTTTCTCTTAATTTCTTTAAAAAATATACATGACTGCTTAAAACAAAAAGTGTAACATTGTATTGTGGGTTTGTAACATGCAGACTTGATACATAGGACAGCTGTTGACAAAGGAGTGGGGTAAGTGTTCTATGTGATTACAAAATGGTTACATTTTATGTGATATGTTACAATACTAACACCAAAGATGTACATTACAATCCCTAGAGAAAACTATTAAACTGTTAAAGGAATGCAAGAGTTACAGCTAAAAAGTCAACAAATAAATTACAATGGAAGGCTACATAATAACCAATCAACACTGGAAAGTAGTAACATGCAAACAAAAACATCAAATGGGACAAACAGAAAACAGAAAGTAAAATGATAGATCTAAGTCCACCCATATCAGTAATCACATTAAATTTAATAAATGCTCCACGTAAAAGACAGATTGTCAGATTGGATAAAAAAGCAAAACCCCACGATACGTTGCCTACTGGCAATGTATTGTAAACATACATAGTCCGAACACAGAGAGGTTGAAAGTAAAAAGATGGAAAAACACACGCCGTACGCAAACAGACAGCGTAAGAGGGTTGCGGTGGCCGCGCCAACACTATGGCACGTCCAATAAGCATGTGACGAGGTGCTCGACAGCATCTGCCGTCAGAGAAACACACGCTGAAACCACAGCGAAGAGCTGCCGCACACCCACTAGAACAGAAAGTAAGAGGAACGACAACAGCACATGTTGGTGAGGACGTGGAGCACCTGGAACCTCACACGTTGTTGACGGGACACGGTACAACCACTCTGGAAAAAGTCTGGCAACTTCTAGCTCACCACGTCTGCTTATGACGCAGCAATTCTGCTCCTCGAAATTAATCCAAGAGAGATGAACATGTCCACAAAAAGACGTGTCCACAATGTTCACAGCAGTCCTATTTGTAATAGCCAACAACAACAAATCCAGAAATACCGCAGATGTTCAAGAGGAGACTGGGTTACAGAAAAACAATGGCGGAACACTCACAGTAACTCAGTAACAGACAGGAGCAGCCTGCTGACCCCCGCAACAACATGGATGGACCTCAAAATCATTATGCTGAGGGATGGACATCTTAAAATGAGTATATACTTCAATTAACACAAGTTCTAAAATGGGCAAACTCATCTATGGTTAAAAAAAAAAAATCAGAACGGTGGGTGCATCTAGGGGGTGGGGGCCAACTAGGGAGGCTCGAGCTCTTCCCAGGGTGCGGGTGAGGTTCCAGTACTGACTAGAGTCTGGGTCACACACATGTGTGCACTCTCCAAACTTCATTCATGCAGTAAGAGCTGCACATTTACGGTAATTAAGTCCTAAGCAAACAGAAGGAAATAATCAGGGTTAGAGTGGAAATCAATGAAGCAAACAGAAAAATGACGGAAATCAATAAAACTAAAAGTTATTTCTTCAAAAAGAGCAAAAAAATTGACAAACTTTTACCCTGACTGACCAAGAAAAATAGAGAGAAAATTCAAATTAGGAAAATGGGAGAGGAAATAGGAAACATTAACACCAGCCTTACATAAACACAAAGACTCAGAAGGCGGTGCTGTGAACAGGCAGTAGATCGGATGATGAGGTGACCTGGACAGAGCCCTAGAAATGCCCGACCACCAAAGCTGACTCGGGAAGAAACGGAGTCCAACACGGCAGTAGGCTAAATAATGGTCCCCCTAGATACCCAGCGTTAATACTTGGAACCTATGAATGTTTCCTTCCATGGCAAAAGGAACTTCACAGATGTGATCAGGAACCTTGAGGAGAGATTATCCCAAATTACCCAGGTGCGCCCTAAATGTAAGCACGGCTGTCCTCACAAGGCAGAGGCGGAGGGAGCCACTACTAGGGCAGGTGACATGATCACTGAAGCAAGACGCTGCCTCGGCCACAGGCCAGGCCTGCAAGGAAGGCGGCCTGGGAAGCTGGGAAAGCCAAGGAATGATTCTCCCCAAAGGTGCCTGCAGGGACCATGCCCTGTGGACACAGATTTTGGCCCACTGAAACTGGTTTCAGACTTCTGAGCTCCCCAACGGTAAGAGGATGGACGTGCGTGGTTCTGAACCACCGGAATGGCGGCAGTTTGCTACGGCGGCGACAGGAAAGTAACACAGACGGGGCCTGCACTCGGAAGACCCCGGTGCTGAAGCAATGGCCTTGACCAGACTGTCTTCCTGCGGGACGATTTTCTCAGTTCTGTGTGCACCCAAACCACCTTGGGTTCTTACTCAACTTCTGATTCCCGGGTCCAGAGGTTTGAGCTCAGGAGGCCCAGGTCGCATTTTCAATGAAAGCCCAGGGGATTCTGATATAGGCGGTCTCTTTTCCTGCCATGGTTTTACTGACACACAATTCACATCCTATACGATTCCATTTAAAGTGTACAAGACAGTGGCATTTAGTATCTTCACAGAGTTGTGCAACCATCGGGACAATCAATTTTAGAACATTTTCTTCACCCAAAATGGAACCCCACACTCTTCATCACCCTTCAGTGTCCCGTCCTCTCCCGCCCTAAGCAATCACTAGTCTACTTTCTGTCTCTGTGCATCTGCCATTCTGGACATTCCACATAAATGGAGTCATAAAATACGTGGCCCTTGGCACCTGGCTTCTCTCACTGAACTTGGTGTTTCAAGGTTTGTCTGTGCTGTAGCAGGTGTCGGGATTCCACCCGTTTACTGCCGGATCGTACTCCGCCACACGGATACAGCACACTGCGTTTATCCGTTCGTCAGGCGGTGGACATCGGTTGTTTCCACCTTTTGGCTGCTGTGACTAGTGCTGCCACGGGGACACTGGCACCCAGGGATCTGTGCGAGTCCCTGCGAAGGCCACCTTTTGAGACACAAAGACACGTGGCCAGGGTTGTCATTCTTCCTTATATAGACATTGCTTCCAAAGCAGAGGTGGCAGTGAGCACATGCTATTTGCTAAGCAGCCACAGGAAACTAATGAAATAAATAAAGAGATTGAATTAGTAATAAAAACACTTCCAGGCTGGGCGCGGTGGCTCACGCCTGTAATCCTAGCACTCTGGGAGGTCGAGGCAGGCGGATTGTTTGAGCTCAGGAGTTCGAGACCAGCCTGGGCAAGAGCGAGACCCCGTCTCTACCAAAAATAGAAAGAAATTAATTGGACAGCTAAAAATATATAGAAAAAATTAGCCGGGCATGGTG